TGCTTTGAGTTGTTGTCTCGCTGGAAAACAAATCTTTTCCAAAGTCGTGGTCTGTTTTAGCTGACTGCATCAAGATCTCTACCACAATGTCTTTTTGTTTTTGCGTATTTATTTTACCCTCCACATTTGCAAGCCTTTCAGGGCCTACTGCTGAGAAGCATCCCCGCATCATGCTTCACATCATGATGCTGCCACCGCCACGCTTCACATCATGATGCTGCCACCACCACGCTTCACATCATGATGCTGCCACCATCATGCTTCACATCATGATGCTGCCACCATCATGCTTCACATCATGATGCTGCCACCGCCGTGCTTCACATTATGCTGGTGTGTTTGTGCAGTGTTTGGCGTCCACCAAACATAGTATCTAGACCGTAGATAGTTTTTGTTCTAATCAGACCAAAGAACCTTCTTCCAGTTGACTTCAGATTTTCCCTCTTGTGAACTTTAGTTGAGAATTAAAGAGGAACTCACTATTCACCGCGCTCAGATGATCCTCATTTCATTTCATTTCTGTGTGACCTCTCGCACCAGTTGTCTGCCCAGTGTTGAAGTAGGTGCAATCACTTATCTCACATTTTATATTTTTTAATTAACTGACCTTGCTTTGGTCAAATCTGTTGCCGGGCTAATTCAGAAACAAACTTTTTCTCTATGCTATGTATAGCTCTTTAGTTCACTGTTGCTTTGTGTACAGAGCCTGAAACAACAACAACAACTATGGCGGCTATGTAACAGTTTGTTTGGCACATGCTTACAAGTTGACACCTTCATTTGGAATTGCTGCACCACTTAATTCCAAATGGTTTCATTAATAGCAACAAATCCACTGGTAATTATCAGCTGCCTCTACAGAGTGTTTTAGCATCTTTGGTTTCATAGCCTACAAACTAGACCTCGTTCACAGCTGGTATCCACGTATATTTCAGGTTGATCTCATCTCAGATAAACCGCTCTACGTAGTCACTTCATACCTGGCATCCGTCTCGAACGATAACTTGTGATTTAATGTCACTATTCTGCTCTGCATGCAATTACACATTTACACCATTGCTATTAATACCAAATATGTTGTTGTGCAACAATGCTAAGTCAGCCAGAGAACAATCAAAGAAGACTTTCCTGTTGTTGTTGTTGTTGCCTATTGTGCTTTTGGCTAAAGCCTGAACAATTTGGGGAAATGTACATTTTTTTAGCAGATATTGGAATCGTGCTTTAATTTTCAATATAATTTGTTGAGCTCGAACTTGATTTCATGATTCACTTCCTAATAGATTTTAAACGTAATGGAGTCTTACCTTAAGCTGTACCATCTGTCACACATGATGGAGGGAACACGTTTGTTTAAACAGTTTAAACCTTGAGTCAGAAGCACTACCTTGATCCTGAGCCATTGTGATTTGTTAATTGCTTAGTTTCCAGTTGTGGTTTCAGTTAATTGTTCGGCCCTAATGTGCATTTAAATGAAGCGAGCAGCGCCCTTCTCTGATGAGTCCTTATGAGATCATTGATTTTAACTTCCTGTCGTAGATGTGCGATACAAAGTTGTTGGTTGTCTTTGGTTTGTCTAGAAGGTTTCTTCAAACCTCTTTAATACGACGTTATGTAGAGAACAGAAGGTCCTATTTTCGCCTTTCACTGAGTGGCCGTCCTCTTTAAAGTCGACTACATTGATCCATTCACTGGAACACGACCCCTCAGCAGGGATTTTAGCCTGAGCAAGGTGGCCTCGTGGGAAAAAGTGGACTCTGATTTGCTTTGAAATGTGACTTACTTTCTGAGGTTTCTGGTTGGAAAATACATTTCCAAGAAAACCAATTTATAAAGTGATTTTCCTGCAGGATCACATCTCTGCAAATTTGGAAATGAGCAACATGAACAAAGAGATGAACAACTATGGAGTGAAATTAAGCATGAATTGTCCTGAATGTAGAAGATGAATTCATGACAAACATTGACTATCTGCTGACCTTTCCTTGTGCCACCATGACATTAATGTCTTTGATAAAGTCAATCTGTAATACAATAGTTAAAAGTGATTTACCATTTTTTATAATAAAAGAATAAAATAAAATGAAACAAAACGCAACAAAAACCAAACACATTCCACATATAATAATAAAAAAACAAAAACAAAGCTTGCTCATGTGGGTTTCAGAGGATTTGTAGGGTCAAATCTCACAAATTAATAATGCTGTGTTGTCTAATCCTATTAGTTAAGTTCTGTAATCTTATAATGCTGTAGCTATATCATTACACTAGTCTGGTTATTCTCCATAATTAAAACACTGTAGGGTCTTGTAATCTGTTATAATCGGGTGAAGTAGAATTTTGTATATTTTTGTACGATTTTAATTCTTAATATGTAAATTATTCAGTTAAAATCACAACTCTATATAGCCTTATCCCAATGTTTAAATGGAGAAACTTCTATTTCCTTTGTTTTTAAACATATATTCATTTTGTTCTAACTTTCCAAACCAACAATCCCTCATTTACCACCGCTTCTGACAGCTCCTGGCTATTAGAGTGGAGGTGACAAATGTGCCAAAGGTTCTATATCTCGGTCACTTCTCACCAACCAAGACCAGCGCCGTGGTCGTCTTCCCGGGGCGAGTTTTGCATCTCGCAGGCGGCATTAGTTTCCCATCCAGTGTGTTTGGACAAGTCATTTTCAGCGTGACCCAAATAGTCTCGTTTGTGCACGGACGCCTCTGCGCGGTCACGGAGAAGCTCGCGTTGACTTCAAGACACTGAGGAAACACTCGTAAAGCTCTAGAATAGACGGGAAGAAACGAAATTCTGCATCAAAGTAAAGAATTTGGTGCTATGGGTGTTTATGTGGGATTCTCCATTCAGTGAGTCAAGGTAGTGAGTGGAGGAGTTGTGCAGGCAGCAAGGTCACGGCCGGTGTGGTGCTAATTGAATGTCTCTGCCTTCTCTTCTCCACCAATAAGCCTCTGTGCATCTTTCTGTGCTGCCTCTGCATGAGTCACAGGACCCACCGCTTTTGTCTGAATGTGTCTTTGAAGGGAAGCGAGCGAGGCAGCCTTGCATCAAAGCTCTGACACTTGCCTCTGTAATTCCAGTCCGTCCTCTTTGTGTTGCCACTTTGTTCGTTAGGATTCGGCGCCGCGGAAGTTCGCCGTATTTCGGGTGTTTTTCTTTGAAATGTACACGAGCTGTGCTAAATGCGGCGTGCGTTACATGCGGGGAGATCAATCGTGGCTTCAATCCACGAGTGAGGATGACCAGGAGCTGGATTGTTGCTCTGTGGATGTCTCTGAATGTCCTTCGTCCCACCATTAACTCAACACAAGCCTTCCTAATCTCCCTGGGCTTTAATGTGCTACTACTTAAACTGCACAACCTGTCATGTTGCTGAAATCATAGCTGCTGGTGCTCGGCGCCAGCAACAAGCAAGCTGAGAGCTAATATTAGCATTCCCCCCACCCACCCGCACCCCATCATATCCAGGGAGCTAATATTAGAGCTGCACACGCTGGCTGAGGCTTAATTACCTGTGTGATTTGACTCATAAAAGCCGAGTCTGAGGACCCAGCGGAGTTTATCCATATGTGTGTTCGCGTCCATGTGTGTGTCCTTCTGTTAGCGTTGTAACCCGGGGGGACAACAAGAGGATGAGTCATCAATACTGAGCAGCTGCGGCTTTTTAGTCGTTGGAGGTATAGTTCTCAGAGGCCTTTTACAGTTTCACATTTCGTCCAGTTGCAGCTCCTCTGCCAGGTCCGTCGCTGTTTTTAAAATGTGAGAACATGGACGAGTTTGCCAAGTTTGATCTGAAATGGAGCACACGCGATGTTGCCACTGTAGATCCACACTGGAAGGCCACATGGGGCATTTTAATTATGCTCCGTGCCTACATCAGCAGCCCTATTTGTATGTAATTGTCAAGGAAAAATGTAGTACTTAGTATCTGCCAATCTGATTTGATACCATTTTCCTAGATACACATTTTAAGTATTGCAGATTACTTGCAGTACCTAGTTGTGCCACCAGGTGGAGCCTCTTTCTGTTGTAGCGACTAGTTGCGGTGAGGAATT